ATTTCCCACGTGTGCGACTAATGAAGGTGATCTTATCTCATAAACAGCAGGACCAGGCTCAGGGAGGGGCGGGGCCATCTGCTGGGACCGGAGAGAAGGAAGACGGGATAAAGACATGCTGAGAAACTGTTATGTTCTCTGTCCTTGAGCTCTCGCCCTCACACACGTGGTCACTTTCCCCTAAAAAGAGGAGTAACTAAAATATTTTTATTTCCTTGTTTAATCTGGTTCTCTTCATCTGCTTGTAGGATCTGTGTAGGATCCACTGATGTGTACGTTTCCAACTTTTCCTTCAGTGTTAAGCTTTGTCTGTTTTGTGTGTCCATTTATTTTTGTGTCCTCGCTGCAGCTCTGTCCGACTGCATCGTATAAGGAACGCAGCGGACGTGGACGCTTCAGGCTTCACTTATAAAATAGCAGAGCTGCATCACCTCTGAGGAGTGACAGGATCCTCTGTAAAGAAGTGCAAACAGACTTTGAGTACAGCCAGTGAAGTCAGCGTATCTGAACCAGAAATCAACGAGAAATCAAGAACAGGGAGTACGCTCACAAGGACAGGGTCAGAAAAACGCCTAACGCATCCTTTTTCTGCCCACGTCTCTTCTCATCTGTGTTGCAGTTTCCAGGCTTTTATTTCTGCATTTCCCTACTTTAAATGTCTGCTTGTTTATTGCTGATATTGTAATAACATGTGCTTTTGTTCATAGATGTAAGAGCAGCTTCCTGCCTGCAGCGTCTGTGCTCCATCTGTCTGGACGTGTTCACCGTTCCAATGCAGACTCAGCTTCTGAGCAACTACGGCACGCTACACGGCGACGCTTGTGTCCCTGTTTTTCACATTAAACTGCACTTTTATTTCAGCTGCTCACGTTATGCAAAAGCAAACAGCTGCAGGAGGAACAGACTGACAGCAGTTTCCCATTCCCGAAGTCGGTTCCATCCACCGAAAACTGGACCGAGGGCAAAGTTGAGCCGTTATGTGGAGGCAGAAAGAGAACTGTTGATAAGCTGCAGGAGACGCTCAGAAATGTACGAGCTGTGCAGTAACTGTGAAGTGAAGAGGGCCTCGAAGTATGCAGTGGATGTGACTCTTGGTCCTGACACAGCAAATATCTATCTCATCCTTTCTGATAATGGGATCAGCCCTGGAACAGTCAAACAGAACGTTCCAGACACCCAAAGAGATTTTCTGTTATTGAGTTTGAGGAAAGCAGCCAGAGTTAGTTTGAGGTTCAGGGCAGGAAGACTGGATCTTAGCCCAAAGACTGAACAGGAAGCAGGCAGTGAGTAGCTGCTGGGCTGTTTGGCCTCACGCGGTGGCTGTTTGTGGACCCTGAATCGGAGCTGGTCACTTTTATAATATAGATGGGCCGTATGATAAAGTGTCACACAGAACAAATAAAGTATGAACTGAATCACCTCCTGTTCTCCTTTGGAAATAAGTCTGTGAAACTCTTTTAGTGGTGAACTAAACCACAGAGTAACATCCAAACGGCCTCACCGATGTCATGCAACAAGTCATAAACTAGGATCAGACGCACAGTCTTGATCTTTTTATTTCGACTGTGTAGCTACGTATTCCTTTCTTCAGGTATTCACAAGCGTGATTATATTGTGAATCATTTGTTTGCAGATGGAGGTTGTTTAATAATTTCACAGCTGACTGAGA